ATACAGATAAAGTTGTAGCAGATAGTGACTTTGTATTTAATTGTAATATGAAATAACTTCCTCCTCTCACCCTAACATTTTTGAGGGGGAGGGGTTAAAGCTTGCCATAATTAATCAAAGGCAGCACTTGTTCATATGTTGTTGGATTGAGTTCCTAGTATAATGCAAGGCATTTGCCCAAAGGCTGCCTTCATATGCATACTGTCACTATTTGGTTGTTTTTCAGAAGCAGGGGAACCTTGGGATATTTGTTGTTTACTTAGTGGATAAAAATAAATGATTTAAAATTTAAAAAATCATTTTATTTAATCGGATTTTTTATTTAAATTGGATTTTTTTAAAAATAAAATGCTTTTTCAGGAAGAATATAGTTTTCTATTTAAAATGCATTATAATCCAAATGTTATTCATCATGAAATAAGGATTAGTTTTTTAATTATGTAGTCTGAGGCTCTCTATTCATGCAATGTTTAAATTTTTTAGTAAATGAATTCTGTTAATCCATTCACAATGCCATGCTCTTCCAGAGGTTTCTGTAAGATTATTGGGAGATTTTTCTATCTAGAAGATTATCAGAGATACTTGATTTTGAATTTTGTGTCTGCACATATTACATGCCTCTTCACAGCAACAATGTTATAACATAAACAAGACATTTTCTTCCAATGTATATATTTTAATTGTTATTGTTTCAATTTATTGTGTATTTTATTATGTTGTGAGCCGCCCTGAGGCTTCGGCAAGGGGCGGCATAGAAATGTTTTAATAAATAAATAATAAAATAAATTAATCCCATTGTTTCTTTGTGAATCTGTATACGCAGAATCAACTCCTTACCTCGTAAATGCTACGTTTCAAAAACTTCAATGAATAGAAGATTGTTGGGAGTAGAATAGTTCTATACAAGAAACTAAGTGTGAGGAGGGAGGGGCAAGCAGTGAAAACGAAAGAGAAGTTTTTGAGCAGAATACTTCACAAGTCTTTGGCCCTTTTGTGTATAGCCTGAGGTTTCTCACATTCTTATTTCCCTGGAGGGGAAAAATGAAATTCCCCTGCCTATGGGTAAGACAGGCATGTGTATAAATTATGTAGAAAACCATAATTTAAATCTAGTCTTATTAACTAGTGATTTAAATTGATTTGATTTAAATCCATTAAAAGGGTTAGGGTTGCAAAATGCAGTATAGCACAGGTAACAAGGCTTAATTCAAAATATTGCTGAATTGTGACTAGGGTGGATTTGTTTAAACCAAGAACTCCTCTCATTTTCATCTCTACCCAGAAATCATGAATTTCAGCTTCAGTGCAGAGTATCTCTTAAATCAAATTCAAACCATGGTTTTAAGATCCTGACTTCTTCAAACACTGATAATAAAAATCTCCCAACCTGCAGACTTCCAGGAAGGGTCAACATGCATAACTAAAGGCACACATATGTATCACCTTAATAAGCCTGAACATGGCCAATGTATGATTGATTACACAGAAGTATCATGTTTCAAAAGGTGGGAGATTAGTATTGTCTATTCAGAAATGATACAAACTTGACCTGCAAATGTTTCTCTTACTATACTGCAACAAGCAATATCCAACCTAATATTGTTGTAATTGTGCTTAAGCAGGATTTAAACATTCATTGTTATCAATTTGCATTTATACTTCTAATTAGCCCTAGGGTTGCGATTAATAGGAATATTCTGGTAGTTGGCCTTCCCTTTTCCTTCTGTGTCCATGAGATGTAATAGTTACACTAATTCACCACAGAGTTTTGCTTTGATCATTTCTTCTTTGAATAGTATCCAGCTAACCATTACACCTTGTAGCAGCTTTTTGAACAGATTCTGGATTTAAATTGCTTCTGTGCATACAAGTTTATCACTAGAATTGTTATTAATCATTCATGTTTGCATTTTCCATAGTATGTTATATTCTTTGTCTTTTGCCCTCACAATTCTAAAACAGTGTGTTCCCATAGAAAAGTTGAGGAACTTAGGCAGCTAATGGAGTCTCTTCATTCGTTTGCACAGGCTAATAGAGGGCAATCTGTCCTTACTGCGGTGTGCACATTCTTATAATCAAGTTTCCTGCCATGGTGATAGATGTGAACCTGTGCATATAAATATATAATACACAGTGTGTTGTGGATGCGTTAGGATAATGGAGGCACAGCAGTCAAAGGAAAAATTGCCATGAAAACAAAGCTAATTTTAGTCTTAAGTCTTCAAGAAGTGGTGGATGTTGTTATCCTTAGGAATTATGTAAGCAGTAGCCCTGTAAAATAAAGCTGCTTTGCTTTCTGACACAAATTAGCCACTTTTATTGGTCTCCTTTTTCTAGTTACCTGTTTCAGTGACCATTAAAAGAATACGCTGAAACTAATAATACTGTAAACACAGTAATTATGTTTGAACAGTGGTTTTCAACCTTTCCACAGCTGGGGACTGACAAAAACAGGAAAACCACCTCAGGGACCACTGAAGCAAAAACAGAAAGCACCATATACATAACACAGTATTCTGTGAATTAGTTTCCAAACACAATACCAAAAAAAGAAAAAAAAAACTCCAAAACAACCAGAAACCGAATAACAAAAAATGCCAACAAAGGAACAAAATACTGAAATCAGCATGGCTTGGCTCCCAGCTGGCTCCCACCAAGCTATCTCTCCCCTCCCTGCCCCCTGTGACACCTGCACACCCCCTGTGAACATGATGCCAACTGAGGAAGAAGTGGTGGAGCACAGCCAGCCCCTGTGCCAGTCCACGGTAAGTGGGATGCAGCCTCTCCATAGATCAGCAGGAAATCTCCTGCAGACCAGAGCCAGTCCATGGACCAGTGGTTGAAAACTACTGCTTTAGAAGACCAGGGAAGCAATATACAGAAAAAACATCTTTGGCTTGCAGCCTTAAATAAAGACACTTGAAAATTGTGTGGAAATTCCTGATTTGTGTTTGGAACCCTAAAATCTGCAATACAAATGATATATTCAGCATCATTTTATCATATTCTGTGGTGTCTATTGGAAGATTAATTGAGCCATTTACAGTAACTTTCCTTCTTTTGGAAGGCTGGAGTAAAATAATTTCACTGTCATGCGAAAGTAAAGTTACCCTACAACACTGAGGTTGTATGAGTGTGCTTGTGAATTTTCTGAGTGTAGGTGGAAGTCGTTGATTCTGGCTGCTATAAATATCTAATTTTTTTTAAAGGTTGGTACAGGGCTAGTATAGAGCCAAATAGATAAAATGTTCCTAGAAACCAATTAACTATCTAGAAATCTGGAAATCAAATGTGTTGGATTCTTTAAATTTTATGGCTATTACATGTTAAAGAAAAGAGGAATTGACAAAATGTAAAGAACCTGTAGGATAATAAGGAAAACTGGGTATGTTTTCAAACTTGCCTGTGCATATGAGGGGGGAACCCAAATTGTTCTCTGGTGGGTGAGCCCATTGTAGTACATGCTTTCGCCACTAGATTCCTCTTGTAGGGACTCATCTGCATCAGTCTGCCAACTGGTGTCATCGAGTGAAGTTGTGGTGAAAGGTTTGTGTGATGCGGTGAGACGAAAATGCCCCGAGTTGTGGCAAAGTGGGGAGTAGTGGCTTCACCACAACAACATGCCAGCTCACAAAGCCTTGAGTGTGAAACAATTTTTAACCAAAAATACCATGACCCAGCTTATCCACCTGACTTGTATTTACCCGATCTCGCTCTGTGCAACTTCTTTTTATTCCTCCAAATGAAAAAACTCCTCAAAGGAAAATGTTAGTGGATGTGGAAAGGTGAAGAAAAAATGACGGCGGTATTAAAAGGCATCACTTTGCAAGAGGTCAGGACTGTTTTGAAAAGTGGAAAACACGTTTAGACCAGTGCATTGCATCAAAAGGACAGAAATTTGAAGGAAATTCCATTTCTAAAACCTAAAATACACATTTTAAATTATAAAATTCTGATTTCTTTTGGGTCCCCTTGTATGTGTTTGGAGTAAGACACTGATTAACTTCTGATAGAACTTGTAACAAACTAGAAAGGGACTGAAAAGATAAACAAGAGCACATCTTAACCTACACTGACCTCACACAGGTATTAAAGTGTTACACACTATCCTGTCTCTTTTAGGGTTCATTTATCAGATCCTCTTCGGAAAGCCTAGTCCATTCTTGGTTTCCCAGTTCTCACAAATGCCAGCAACATATGTCTGGAAAAAAACTCTGCCAATCAAAATAAGGCAACAGACTGATACCATGGACAGGGGAAAAAAATAGGAAAAGGACTCTTTAACATATAGTAATGCTACAGTGAGAGCCAGCATGGTATAGTGACAGACTGAGGAAATGTCCAGTTTATCAAATTTTGCTTGATGCTGTACAGAGGTGGTAGTTCACAAATTTAGCTGTGAATTACTCAAATGTTATGAAAACAGAAAAAGAGAGATAATATCAAAACCAGTCCAGGTTACCATAACATTACAGGGAAAGCACATGCTACTGCAGTGGTCAAAGTATTCTAATTCTATGAGATTCACCTGTCACACTAAAATATTCTGATAATCAGATTACTCCTGATTTCAGAATTTTTTAGCTGTTGATGGCAGCCATTTTCCCCACTTCAGGTCAATGAGCTTAAAGAACAAACTGTAAAAGCAATAAATAAAATAGCTTTCTATGTATACAGATATAATGTAACCCTACTAGACAATGTATTCCAGTTAAGAAAATATCCTCAAGCTATGTTAGCTAATGTTTGAGCACTTTTAAAAAAATGATAAGCAAAACAGTCTGGCCTTGTTTATGAATAAGTATTGGATGTATTAGTGATACAGATGCATGAAAAAGTTATTTTGCTTCCATATTTGACCTGAATTTACCTGGTGTGTATATGTTTTATTATTTGCAGTTCACTTTTGTAGAATATTTGCTATGAGATGCCCAATAGTTTTTTTCCCTTAAATGTAGTGCCTCTTTAATGCATCTTAAAACATTCTTTTTGAATTACAGGAGCTCCAGTTTCAAAGGCTCACCAGAGAACTTGAGGTGGAAAGGCAAATTGTTGCCAGTCAATTAGAAAGGTGCAGGCTTGGAGCAGAATCACCGAGCATTGCAAGCACAAGGTATATTTCCTAGTGTTTGTCTTTAAAGATTGTCAACAAAGTATTTGTAATAAACCTTGATTTCATCACACTTTATGAATTCAGCAGTGATTCACTACTGATTTGATGCTTAGAAATAGCTCTTTGGAATTCATAGATTTAGCTCTATAGAACTTGTGGTTCCTTGATTCGTTGTGCACATACCTAGCACAAGGCAAAAGTACATTTGACTGCAGAGGACCATTGACTTATTAATAATGTTACACAGCCTGTGTGTATCTCCTGCTGATGCCATTGCTGCAGCCTTCTTAAATCTGAAATCAGCATAAGACTGAGGATGCGGTGAAGGCCTGTAAAAATGCATTTTATCAAAAAGCTTGTGCGTTTGTTTATTTCATTTTGTACTGCTCCCATAGCCCTTCAGGGCCCTCTGGGCAGTGTACAATCCAAAATGAATAAAACAGCCATAAAATTCATACAACAAAAGCATACAATAAAATACTGTAAAATTCCAATACCATCTAACAGACAACTACAACAGTCAGTAAAATCACCTCAGGCACAGCAAAGATAACAATCATTAAAATGTCTAAAATATAGTCATTCAACAGTTTTTAAAATGTCTGGTAAATAACATATTTGCTGGCTCCAGAAAGATAACAATGAGGATGCCAGACATACTTCTCTAGGGAGCATATTTCATTAATGGGGTTCAACCACTGAGAAGGCCCTTCTCCATTTTGCCAGCCCCCTCACATCTTTGGGTGGCTGCTCCCTGAGAAGGACCTCTGAAGCTGATCTTACTGATCAGATAGGAACATATGGAAGCAGGCCATTTAGGGCTTCATATGTCAAAACAAGCACTTTAAAATTGGGCCTCGGCCCCAACTGATGGTCAATGTAATTGGTGAAGAATTGGCATAATATGGATGTGCAAGCTATAGTATTAAAAAGATAGAGTAGAATTGAGAGAGACCTGAAAATACTCAATATACAGTATGATGCTACTTTGAAAATGAATTTTGAAGAATTATTTGTTGTAAGTAAGCAACTGGTGTCTACTGATTCAGGATCACACTTTTTAACAACTAAAATATTTGAATTGTTTTTATGGATAAATGATCCCTCAAAAACATAAATAGCTTAAAAATAATCATGTTTGTGCTTTCAGTTGTACAGATCAGTTTTACTTTATATTCCCTTTCATTCTCTTCAGTAGGTTAGCCATGTGCTGTATATATCATATTCAGTAGGAAAAGAAATATGGTCTATTAAGTCTAATTTGAAGATCAAACAAAATAAATGTCCAGCACCATTGAATCGTTCTCATCATCTGCCAGTATATGCATATTTTCAACGTGCCCTGCTTGTGAGCATCTGGCTTACCAGTGTTAGAATCACAGTACAGGGATAGATTGTCTTCTGGTTTGATCCAACGAGGCAGTTCTAATTTAGTTTTGTATATGGGACTATTATGTAAGTGTCCAGTTCATTCTGCAAGAGAAGAAATATCCTCTGTGTGCTGCCTGGATTCTACATGAGTAGGGAAAGGACAATTTTTGCTAAACTATTATATCAAGCTATTACTTTATGGTCATCGTATATTGTATAAATAAAGTTGAGAGCTAGGTTTACTCCTTCCCCCTTTCAAAACAACAGAACATTCATTGGAAAAGCTCCTTATTCGCCAAAGTAATCCAGCAAAGCATAATCAGCAAAGAAAGTCTCTGAGCATGCATAGAGCGGTTTGTTGAATCCAAACTAGAAACTATCTCCAAGAACCACATTTTTGATTACCCCTGGGCCCCCACCCCTCTAAGAGGGCCTTCTGGAGATGGGCCAGCCTCTTTGCTGTATGCTGCCCCTCTATTTTGCTAGCCCTTCTCTCACAAAACCATGTCATACAGGCAAGGACTGTACCAGGCTCATTTGGTTCCTTTTCCATGCCCCCTTTTGACAGTTGCAGACTGTGGCTATTCCCAGGGTCCACTGAACACCTGGAGAGGGCATCTTTGACATAAACCAACCCCCATGTCCTGTCACAAAAAGTGGACACCCCACTTCCCAAAGCTGCTCCTCCTTCCCCTCTGAAGAGGCCAAGTCTCTTGGCCTTAAAACATGCGCCAAGAACAACTTCCTCTTTGATTCCAAATCAATAATATTGATGAGGCATTTGCCAATAAGTATGAGAAGTAGTTTGAGCTAATTCTTGGCAGCAGCTTCGGGTTGCTTCAGGGACAGAAGATACAGATTTTTGAAGGGACATGCATTGCTTTTATTCGTTGAAAAGGATTCCTATGTATAGAAGGATTCCTATGCATATATACATCGGCTTTAGCTGGTAAGTTTGGTCCTGGCTTTAGGCAGGTCAGGCACAGAAAGGATTTTTTCATTTATAGTGCTAGTGCCAGTTCTAGGGAATGTTCTCTCCAGTTATTTTTGCTGCTCGCTTTATGCTGTTTTGATTGCAGGTTTTCTGAATTTCAATAATTATATGTTAACTGATTTATATAAACCACCTTAAGCAACATTTATGGGAAAGGACTGATATAATTGTGTTAAAAGCATTTTAAAATAATTATAGAATCAAAAGACCTAAAAGCGCTTGAAGGTTATTTGTGCCCTATAGGAGGCAAAAGACCATTTGAACCCTAGTATCTACTACGTATTGGTTTTACACCATCAAATCCACAGTCTCTAGGGATGTTTGAGAACATCCATAATGGTTTCAAATCAGTGGATCTTGAATCCGCTCTGCAGATTCTGCAGCAGAATGGCATTCTACTTGCTGGGTGGGCCTTTTTTAAAGGATTTTCAAAACCCTGTTGCACCAGGTAAACCTATTGGTGCTTCTTTAAAGTTACTTTACAATACCTAGCTCAGCAGTGGGCAACTTGTGGCCTTTGTGACCTAGAGCTTGCCCCAGCCATAGCCAGGATTGCCAATGATGAGGAATGATGGAACTTGAAGGCCTTAATGTTTGGAGGCCACAGGTTGTCCACCCCTGCATGCTGCAACCATGTCACTGGGACAGTCACATTAGAAACTGCAGTAGCAGTTGTCTTCTAGGCATGGCAAAGTAGTAGTTTTTCTGGAAGTCCAAACTCAATATTGCTTAACAGATCTTGTTTTAATTTGTGCTAGGTATCACAGTTGTTTGAACGCATTTCGAAGTTTGGCTTTTAAATATTGTAATGAGGGTTTTTATTGTTACTTGTATTTTACTGCATTTTTACTGCATTTTATGTGCTGTTGTAAGCCACTCAGAGTTTTAGGTATTGGGCAGAATAAAGTTAAATAAGTCAATAAACAAAGTTTATGTATATAAAAGAGTCACTCTACTTAGTTTGTAAAGCCTGTACTGATTAGAAGGGTATGTGGGGCCTACAAGGACTGAAGTGACTTTGCAACCTGTGACATTAAAAATATATTCTGCCTACTCCCAGTAGTAATTTGAAGCTAACTGTGACACCACAATGCAATCAAACCATGGCTTCTCATGGTATGCTTCATAAACTAAGCAAACAGCACTGCAAACCATCCTACAATCTTGTAAAACTTTGGCTGACTGATATGTAGAAACATGTCTTTGTATGTAAGTGTCCATACAGTTGCAGTGGTTGAGTTTAGTCTACCTCCTACAGAGCTGCCAGTGTTACTCAGTGCTTAGAGATTTAGCTGTTCGGTGCAGAAATACTTGTATTACTTCAATGAAGTCCATGTTTAAGTTATTTGTGATCAAAGATATATTCAGTGTAATGGTGTTGCATATTTCAGTTTTGCATTGTCTGGTATTTTTTTAAAATATCAAATGATAGTAACAATTGGTTTTCTGAGTGTGAATAGACATTCTAAACGGCATTTTATGCTACTGTTACACAAACAGTGTTTGCATCTATGTAGTTTACACAGGTTTTAAAAAGCATATTTAAGTTCAGTGAAGAACAGATGAATCCATTGTTGTTCACAAACTAGACTTAAAACATTGCTTCTGAAAAGGCTAATCTTAAGGCTCAATCATTTGCCTCATACCTTTGTTGCAGTCACTCAAGCCTCTAATTCTCTGCCACTGAGTTAAAGAAGTGCTGGCAAAGAAGCAATAGCTGTATCCAAGGGCTTGGCTATCTTACTATTCTTGGTCACCATCAGCAATAATCCTACTGAATTATTGTTAGATTTTTATTTGTATTATTAAATGCATGTCTGAGTAAATGTGATCGTAGAGCTAGATAACATGCTAAAACTTGGTTATAACTTGTGGTGTTTCGTATGCTCTCCACAAGGGATACTGACAGCCTTTTTCTCATACCTGCATCACTCACATATTCTGGCAATTCAGCAAGTGCCCAGGATCTGGCGTGTCAACAGCAGCTGACTCATTTGCAAGGACAATCAACAACTCATATCAGTCCGAATCTGGGCTGCTCTGGTGGCCAAAACCAAAGCAACCACCACCATATTTGCAAGTGCCAGGTGGGAATACTGTGGGGAAAGCTATGTAAGTGCAAGCTCTTTCCTCCAGAACTGGCCTCAGCAATGCTGTTAGCTCTAGTGCTGCTCCTGTCACCTGCTTTGCCATGTTGCCACAGCAGCACAGCTGTGCTGCATCCCGCTTGACCTTTCCTGCTTCTTGCCTTGCCTTGCCATTTGTATCCCACCTTGCTGTGTATCCTACCTTGTTGTATTGCTTCAGCAACACAAGTTTGTCTGCTAGCTGTGGTTCAGCTATTCATCTTGTGTGACACTTGCTGCATCCGGTTCCTGTTGTCTCCTGCATCTTGTCGTATATCCTGCTGTGCCATGTCCCCTACCATGCCATGTATCCTGCCTTACTGAATCTCCTGCCCTGTTGTCCTGTCCAAGGTACTTGCACCTGTTTGTTCCCCTGATTCTTAACCCTTGGGTCGTTCCTGACCATGTTCTTGTTCTGCCCTCATGCATTCTTCCAGTTCCTGACCTCAGCCTGTACCCTGACAATGATCTGGACTTTCTCTTAAATCTTACATTTTGGAGCCTGTCTC